TCTCTTATTCTATCCCATTATCAAGTGCTTTGTTATTTACGCAAATCACGGCTTTCCCGTTGGATGTTTTTTTCTCAGTATTCAATTCGTTACACGTGTAGCATATTCTTGACGCAGCTCAATCAAATTCTCCTTGTGCCTTTTTCGTGTTTAAGATGAACTCAGCATGGAACAGTTCAGTACAGTTAACAAATACGCAAGCGAAAAAGCTCCAGCCAACGGATGCATGTACATTTTAGTCAAATGCCTAGATCCGGTTCGCGCAAGTCGCTTGGAAAACATGCCGCACATAATATGGATGACGTATATTCTATTCACACGTATAGTAGTATAGGCAGAATTATTGATTTTTTCTCTTTCATTATCCCTTAACATTTTCCCTTGATCTTGAGTGTATGCGGCAGGCTGGTAGGTAAAAATACATGTTGTGCGAGTCCCTGGACTTTTCGTCGTCCATTGCCAAGGTCGGTTAGCGGGAAAATGCCAAACAGTGTGGCAGGAGCATACATCAAACGACTGCTTTCATGCGGCATTTCTAATATCCGTTTCAGAGAAAATAAAAATTATTTATCTTCTTTGGCGAACATTTATGTTAAACGGATTGAATTTTTTCAATAAAAAATGCTTCTTTTATGTCTTTTAGTTTGGCTTTGCGGAAAATAATACACATCGGATATCTATTCAGTTTAAAGTTTAAAGATTAATGCAGTGAAACACTCCCACAGTGATTCGCTAATGCGAAACACATGCTTCGGGTTTCATCAAGAAAAACTGTAAAGATTTCTCTTTATCAAAATATCACAAAGTCCTGTCGACCATCCACATTTATTTAACATTTATCTAATATCGTTGCTGCAGTGAATTATAAGATACAATTAAATAAATGCCATTTGCTCGAAATCAACTTTTGTTTATGTCTAACCTTTATTTCAAAAACACTTCTTGAACTTCATGTTTTCAACATTTTTATTGCGAAACAATATAATTAATGAGTAATTTTCTAATATCATTTGCTGTAAAAAAATCAACATAGTTTTTGCTCTCTTGGCGATTGAGTCCAAAAACTTGGATGTTTTGGTATGTTTAACTTATTTCCATCCAATTATTTCCACGTTTAATTGATTATTAAAGCGTGTAGTGGCAATATAAAGTACTACTTGGATATATTGAAATATCAATCTGCAGATCACTTGAACTTTCGAGCGGAATATGGCTCAAATGTTTGCTATTTTGGTTTTTTCTTCACAACCGTTTTATATAGTTAGGTTTTTTTTGGATAAATTCTTGCAACTGGAACTCATGAAATTTTTGTCAAATCATTGATTTCATCGCTTATCGTACAGAAGCAAAGAGTTAAAATGTATGCTATGTCTTGGTGGTAATTTCTTTTGATCGATCAGGCGAACACCGAACTGTGCCTTAAATTCAATGTCGCAGCCGGTTTCATTGACGGCAATTTCTCGTTTTTTCTTTTCTTTCACGCTTTATTGCATATTATTTATTGTAGCTGTGTCCACCCACACAAAAATCTCAGCTGTTGTAATAAGCACCGAATGGTTAACTGGATGAAAATTTCGGTTTATTTCAATATACGCAAACACATTTGACTAATCTCTTTTTTCGGCCGAAGGTATATGAGGCCAAAAACTGATCATTGATCCATTGAATTTATCATGTATTTCCTTTACATGAACAGCATAAAAATGTTGCGGTTTATTAAATGACAGAGTGTCGATTAAATAAAGCAACATGATGAGTTTAACAAGATTTGATTAGGTAATCAGGTCCATTCATTATCATTTATTTTCGGATGAAAAAAAATTGATGACAACATAAGGCCTCCGCGCAAAATATGGATCATTTTGCAATAATGTCACATCACTTCAAATTCCCAAAATTGATTGAGCTGTGTTTATCGACTTTCCATTCATCAATTTTAATTCAAATACTATGACATTTTGTCGATGCTAGTATTCCATACGAGTGCGAACATTTGACGAATTTCCGCTTCATTTCACGAAAAATATTTAACGAATAAAAAAAACGGCTCCATACGGTAAAGGTAAGTTTGATTCAATGTTATGCATAGAAATGGGGGCAGTGATTTTGGGGAGTTGAATATTTGAAGTTTTTTTACACTGAATTTTCACATGCGCTGTAATATGTTTGACGTTGTTGTCTTTGGCATCGATGAATAAAAAAAACTTACACGACCATTTACACGCACACTGAGATTCTTTAACATTGTATACAATTGCATGTACAATGATATCAATATGCGTTGTTTTCATTCCTTTATTCATTTTTGATGGTAGTTTCTATCTTTCGCTTGCTATGTACTCTCTCCAATTTTAATTTTCATTCATTCCTCGCTGCGCGTTTCATATGTAACGGAGTCATGACTTCGTCCATCCACTTACATATAAGTTCACATTATGGCGGGAGCATTTCACACTTCTTTCTAAGTTCGTCTTTTTTTTGCGTCAGTCCGTCGGTCATATTTACGTCATTTTATATTTCGATTGCATGAAAGAACAAAAATACAATTATGCTACTAACGTGCAAAGTGAACCAACTCCAAAAACATTGTCAACACCATTTTAAAAGATAAAATGTACACGCTGCTTGCTACAGGTTGCGACGCAATTAACAAAAACTATTAAATTTTCAAATGTGACGTCCTAGCCAACGCTCATTTCAATTCAATGAAAAAATTATTGTTATGAGAACAATGTCTATGCTGTTTTTGGTTCAGAAAGAAATTCTTCATTAAAAACAAAATGAATATATTTTAAAGTATTGTATCTAGCGTTGCGACGGTGGACAGTTTTTCATTTTTAAAACCACCTGGTGATTGGATATCACTGTTTTGCTTCATTAAATCTGGTAACCTTTTGCGATAAAACAACACAACGAATATCAACCATATATGCGATAATCCAAAGCTTCATGAACATAATTAAAATGTTTCCATGCCAATGGTTTCACATGTAGAAGCGTAAAAATTTTATGCGAACTTCTCTACATTTTTTATTCTAATAAAAATGGTATTGTGCATATCTAAGTTGTGATAATTCCATGTAGGATGGAAGATATACTGTGGAATGTCGGAAGCAAATGAAGCGGTTTTTAAATGACCTTCATACATTTCGTGTTTTTCTAACAATGTATGGCATTTTGTTTCAGGTACTTGTGTAATTTATTGTAATTTACCGTCCTATCCTAACTTGTTTTCAATTAAGCTCAATTATAATAATACAATCGCCCTACCAATTACCCAACCTTCTTGAAATTTACCATTTCATCAATTTTAAATGAACGCTCAAAAACACAAATTGAATCACTTTCACTACGTTTCTCGCGTACAATTTGATAAACATTGTGTGTTTTATTTGCTCTCTTTCACATTGAATGAAACAAACATAGCGACATTTATCGATTTTTTGCCAAGCTATCTTATCTACGGCTATGAATATGTGTTCGTGTGAATCTGAAAACTCCCAGTTAAAGCGACACATCCATTTTTGATGATGATGATAGTGGTGGTTGTGGTGGTGGTGTCGATGATGATGACGCCGTCTACGGTGACGGCGGTGTGGATGTTGTGTGAAGCGCAAAATCAAAAATTTCATTCATAAAATTCTCTGAATGTTATGCGGCATCTTTGTCCCGGCTGTTTTTTCCATTTGTTCCCTTCGTTATCCATTTTATTCAATTTTGCCTCAATGTATTTCGGCATTCCCAAATTTTTTTTTTGCAGCAGCAGCCAAATTCGTATCTATTTTTATCACATTTGCCCATGCATCATCATACTATGTCTACATCGTTGATCTAAGGTATTTGTCTCTTCGCTTTTTTTGCCACTGTTGAATTACATGCACCAAAATTCTTCGCACCAAAAATACCCTTTTCTTATCATCTTAGCTGAATGCAGATTTACTTCTATGTAAACAAAATGTTTTCGTCGACCGTACATTATATTGGATATTTTCCATTTTCATTCGATTTTGAAGTGTATCGACCCTGTACGTTTTTTTTTTTTTAAAAGAAGAGTAAAACCCATTCAGTGTGTGACAGATGAATAACGAAAAGCATATAAATGTGTGGGGGTGGCATATGTTGGTGGAGAAAGAAATTGCATGCGTTGTTGATATTGATAATAGTACAATACAAACATCGGTCAAAATTTTACGGCACAAAATATATATTGCAAAAATTAAATCCGATTCAACCCCACATGAGAGCAATGCGTCAGTCGATTTGAGTCAAGTAAAGCCAAGTGAAGCTGTTGCTTTCCCTTTCCCCCCAAATAAATATGTCATTCACAGATGAAATTGAAAACTTTCTCCGAAATGTTTTCAAATTCAATATAAAATATTCTTATTTGTTTATTTTTAACTCTTTTTTTTCGTTGGCACATTGCACGGAGTACAGAATCATTTTTCACGATGATTGAGGTGTTTTAATGTCTTCGTGTTACCAGTTGCGTTGTTTGTTATTTTTTTATCGGGCTGTGTTATGAACACACGACGTGTGCGTGAACAAAAGCAGATAAGAAGAGTTTGGAGCACTGCAGTGTATAGCACACGTTTAATTGATAATGAAGAAAAGCTTGCGGTGGTGGTGTATCTTCCAAAATTTCCAGGCGCCGTATTCAGTCGAAAAAGGGGAAATCAACACACACGAGCAACAGCTATAAAACAACAGCACCAGCACAATCAATAAATCCAAGGACGTTCGAAAATTTCATTCACAAAATCCTTTTGATTCATAAAATCCGGCTACAACTAACATGGTGGCAGCCCGGCAAACACTCAGCAAACAGCAAACAAAAGGTAGTACATATAAATATGTATATGTATGTATTGGCATGTGCTATGTACACCATAGAAATGGACATGTATAAGCTGAGTCAAGCATGTGCCATCTCATCTTCGGTGAAACAGGAAAAAAGCGTATGACGTAAATTATCGTTTAACAATTGATTTGTCTTTCGGTCGCGTTTTATTTAATCGTTTCATTCTCTGAGTTTGCTATTAATTAATTTAAAAAAAAATAAGATTCACCAATCGCTATCTCACATCAATTTGTTTGTTTACACAAAATTTTGTTTACAAAACATCTAATAAAGAGAGTGTTTGTTTGTCACAAGTATTTTCGTCGTTGATCTGCATAGATTCGCATGAGGAACCCAGCAAAAAATGTTATGCTGCTTTTGGGTGAGTTTGATTGAAGGGTTTGATAAGATTTTTTCATGAGTTCACCTATGACTTTTTATTTTATGTGTTGAATTGGAATGTTTTTTGCCCGAAATTAAATGAAAAATCGAAAGAAAAAGCCTTGATGTTTTTTAAGTATTAATTCCTATGAATTCCATTGGATATGAGAAATAGATGGAGGTTTCATCACATCAAATAGAAATGGAGACGGTATTGTTTTCTTTTACCGCAAAAAAAACAACACAAAATTTAACAAAAATTTATTAATGTAAAAACTGAATATTTTCAACTAACATATTGTAGTTAAAATCACATCGAATTAATTCAAATTGATGATTTACTTTGAACAAAAATCCAACCAAAATAATCTATTTTTCAAATACTTGAAATTTTTATAGCATCGATTATGGGAACAATGGATTACAGCAAATGACAGACAGTTGTCAAAGTTTGACAACGTCTATCGTAAAGAATGCATTAAAGTAACCATTAACCAATGTTTAGAAGTTGCAAACGTTTTTCATAAACATAAATCAATATAGAATTTATTTTGCCGGTAATATTTACAAGATAAGTAAGAAAAACCATTCTTAGCGGTAGCCAAAACCCGAATTGCATGTGGTAATCCTTGTTGAAAGATATCAATCCGAAAAAAAATGAGAACGAGATCGTGTACAAAGAGTTTGATCTCAGATTTCAAACGAAAAAAGTATGCATTGCTGGAGAAGAAAAAATTATCAAAGAAAAGTGATGAACTGGTGCGTTCAACGAGAATCACAAGAAAATCCAAAACATGCTTCATGGATCTGAATGACGATTGCATTGAGGAGATATTACGACGGCTACCTGCGGTGGAACTGTGTAAATTTACCATTTTGAGCAAACGCCTGAAAGGCCTTGCTGAGGATATGTTCAAGAGATTATACTCGATTAAGACCATTACATTCAAACCAACCGAAACATGTGCCACGGAATTCGGTTCAAAAATCACCAGGTATGCAGAATACAGATATATAAAAAAATGCCGACTTCGATTTTTCCACTGACAATTAAATTTGCAATTTTTAGGTTATTCATGAAATCTTTCGGTTCATATATGCAACAAATACAGTTAATTGGAACGGAGGATTCAAGTGAAAAGCGCATGGAACAGAAAATGCTTACGTCAATCGGTTCAAATTGCGGACCAAATTTACAATGTACAGTTTATTCAATATGTTTCTTGTGGATCTTTTTCTAAAATGATCGGTTTTTTTATAGGTATTAATTTGGTGCGCTGTGATCTAAATGAAAATACTGTTCGTTTGCTAGAAAAAACATTGGAATTCGTTCCACAAATAACGCTGGATGGATGTCGCTTGGCTAGTGCTAGTGTTGACGTTTATGATTTGTTGTTGAAAAAGTGTCACCGCCTTCGTACATTGAATATAATACAATGCAACACATTTGATCATGGTACATGGCTTCGACGTCGGTATTCTACACTAAAAACTGTTCAGGTAGTGCAACATTTTTGACATTAATGTTCATTTTCTTTAAATTAATTATTATTATTATATTACATTAGGTGCTGCGAGCCATTTTTGAACCCGAAGATGTTCGCGTTTTCTTCGAACTAAATCCACACATAACAGAAGTTTGGTTTAATGTACGAATGCCTCAGCTAACACATCAGTACGATTCGGATAAGTTACAACGATTTCTGATGATAAATGGTTTCGATGAAGGAAACTATTGCGAACGATTTTTGAATACATATGCAAAAATTGTAGTCAAATCTCTTACACTTGGTCATAATGTGATTACAGAGAGAAAGTGCATGGCCATTGCACAAATGACCGACATTAGAGAGCTGAAATTTATTGAACCGAATGGTTTGAATGCCGATTTTGTTGATATTCTATCAAAAGGATTGGATAATTTGACAACCGTTTTCTTAAGCGGCGAAATGTTCAATTATCAAATGATTCAGGATTTGATTAGCCAATTTCCACGTTTGGCTTACCTTTATCTCCACAACACCGAATTCAATTCAATTTCATCCGACCAGTTCAGTGCACTGATAATGGCACGGAAGCGGTCTGCAACCATCGAAACTGAAAATCGTCCACTTACCATATTCGTTGGACGCTCAACGCCGGTTTATGCACGAGCAATGTGCCGCAAGTTCAAAGACAACAAAATCATCAAAGTGGTAACGATGAAATCAAAAGAATTTCAATCTCATTTCTTCTTAGCCAAATAAGTTCGCTTCGTATGAGTATCGAAAAAAAAAACACACACGAATATTTCTTATTGTTTCAATACCATTCGTGGCGGTGGCATTGGCTATTAAACAGTAGAGAATCAATTAAACATTTTGTTGATACAGAATTTCGTACTGTATATATCAACAGCCATGGCTTTTACGTAAACCTCAATGACACAATAATAATTAAAAGCATAAAATTGTGTGTCAAATACGACTACGAATGGGATAAGCGGAAAAGCTAGTCAAATAAATAATATTTATAAGGAAAACAAAATAAAACCAATTTACGATTATCATGGAAGCTGTTTATTTGCTCTGTTATTATTCATTTTGTATTGTATGAAACATTACATACATCATTTCATTTCAAATTTCATATCGAACATTTATTAATTTCCTGAACAAAACCAATGTTCAATTTTAAAATTCATCATTTGTTATTTACATAAAGGTTCAAAGCAAATGGTCGTGTATTTGGAGGAGTGTAATTGTAATATTACAATTGTTTCATAGAAAAATGAATAAATTACTAAATTAACCGATATAAAAAACATTTTCTTTTTGTATTTTATATATATACATGCGATTTTTTCTCTCTCTACCTTCTTTTTTTCTTATCAAAAAGAACAAACTAAACGAAAGTTCAAATAATTACAAATTCTATTCGAAAGCGTACTTAATCAATGAGACATGCAAAGTGTCTATAAAAAAATATTGCTTAGAAAGCGTGTCGTGCAGAGATTGGACTAAAATTTTCTCCCTTTTTTTCTTTCATTTTCATCAAAAAATATCAAATTAAACGTGGGAAACAAATAGCAACTGCGTGCATGTCTTTTTGTTGATTGTGATCAGTGGCTGCCATTTTCGGCATGAATGAATGGCTCTGATTCGCTTCGTTTGTGGGTACGTCTTTGTGGATGTGTTCGAATTGGTTCGACCAATTCGGTTTGCTGCAAATCTGGTTCGCTGCGTGTCATTTGATCATCTAAAATGTCACCGCCTTCATTAAGCAAATGTTCATTCAGGTGAACGTCGCGGTCAAGGTCAACATCACTATTGCTGTGCAACAAAGCGATAGCACCTAAATTTGGTTCAGTCAATGGTTGGGAATTGTTTGGCGTTGACGCTGATGGATCTTGTGCTGTTTTCAATTCGGTGACGGTATCAACCGTTTTCGAACGTTGTAATGGCGTGAATGAATTTGGTGAAATTAATGCGTCAACAATTTGGCTGGTGATAATGGTTTGATCGATGCTATTACGTGATTTTGGTGGCGTAGCTGGCAATGGATGAATACCACCCATATGCACCGCATTCGAAGCACTTGTGGCATGATTATTTGTATTGTTCGACACACTAAATGTGGATGGCATTGTAACAGTTGTTCCAGTAGCTATATTTGTTGTTACGGTTGCTGACGCCGTCGCTGATGCAGCAGCAGCTGCTTGTTTTTCTCTTTGATGTTTTTGCATCAGGTCGCAGGCCTTTCCCAGTGCACATACGGTGTTCAAAATTCGACAACTGATGAGTGTAATGAATGCAATGATTAGCAATAGAAACGAAGACATATTTTCAATTGCAATGGCTCCGTAAAGTGCTTTTATTAGTACAACACTCAAGGGGAAGGGGATGAATCCCATGCGACGTGCAACTAAATCGGAGTGATCTGAGAAGGCATGTTTTTGACGAGTTTGAGTCATGTCATAAGCGAGGCTGATTGTAAATTCCTTGTACACATCGACGGGAAGCTCATTGAATCGTGTAATGAACGCATGTTTAATCCAGTCAATCAAAAATTCAACCATCAGAACGTAGAAACAATCGGAAAATAGTATCAAAAATTGTTCGCTGCTCCAATTGAATTCTTTCATCGTTTGTATGACCACAACAAATAGTAAAACGGTCAAATGGACACGTTCACGAACATCGGCACATGTCAATTGAAATAGGTTGTTCTTATCGAATTTCTTGAATACACTGCCTTTCAATTCGACAAAATTGTTCGACATCATAATACCGAGTAGACCTTTGTTATCCGAATTGATGGCAACATTCAAACAAATTGATTGGAACATAATCAAACAACTGTGCAAACTGACATAGAACAATGCAAATATGATATGACCAACTAGTCCAATACGGTCACGTCGTCGCTCCTTTGGTTCGGTTGCCGTCCAAAATAATGCATCCAAAGTATCCTGGCCAAATGCGCAAAGTAATCTATCGCCCACCTCTAGCATATTATAAAAAATGTACAATTTTATCACCGATTGCGATTTGATAATATGATACATGCGATTGGTATCGATAAGATTTAGCAAAAGAATGGCGGCAATCCAAATGGAACCTTTTAAGAGATCACAAACTTCAGCCGGTGCTAAAAGGCGTTGGCCTCGACGTCGTAGACCGAAACATGTTGCAATCGGACGCCATATCACAGCACACACCGCCAATAAATAACGAATCGGCAAAAAAGTGTGAATATACCTAAAACAAAACATTAAAACATTTCAGAACATAATTTTTTGTTTAACTAAACATTGAATTGAACTTACAAAAATGAATCAATACACTGTAGCACACCGTAAATCATAAACTTTTCAAATTCACGTGGAATTTTCATGAATGTGTAAATTTTCTCTCTTCGGGCCGAAAATCTTTCTACATCATTTTATTTTGGGAGATATATAAATGTAAAATAAAAACTATAAAATTTAAAATCATTTATAAATGTTTATTTGATCTTTTTTTTTTTGATGAAACATTTAAATTACCTTCATCATGTTCAGGCACATATCCACGGGTTAATTCAATTTTGACAAAATCGAAAAATGATCGATCATCAACAGGTTCTATATGCGTATGCGTGCAAAAGAGAAAGAAAACAAAAACAATTGTGATTGGAAGTGAAATGTAAACAAAAATACGCTTATCATCGGCGTTTACCTTTTTTATTGCTTTCGTCGGCGTTTTGATCGGCAACGCCAAACTTTTTTCGTCGTTCGGGATCATCGAAAATGTCTTCGATATGATTATCGAAATAGTATGAATTAAGGTCACCTCGAAATCGTATCTTTTTTGTTGACGGTGTTAGGAAGTCATCATCTTTTTTCGTCATTGTTTTGTTTTTTTTTTCACTTGCGCTATGTATTCAGAACTTACTACCTTAGGTTTTTTGCACAACGTGTTGCAAACAAAACAATTATGACACAATCCAATATTGACAGAGAAAAAAAAACGATATAAGGGGGTTTTATTTGTTTTTGTGTGTTGCACACAACTCTCTTGATCTATGATTGGCTACATACTAAGGAAAATAAACAACGTCCAAACGTCAAATCAAACTGCAAATGCACATCTGTTCGACAAACGTCAAAGTGAATTCACACAAAATTGGAACTTATCCAAATCTATATGCGTTCCGTTTTATATTCCACAATTTTAGAATGAGAAAATGGATTTTTCAAAAACAACAAATTATATACGCATTTATTTTTGTCAGTTTTTTTTTTCTATTTCTTTGAAACAAGCATATTACACATACACATTGAACTAATCCAGTACCATTGTAGAAATGTCAAATGTCAGATGACAGACGAGTTGGCCACAACAATGGGTTGAAATAAAAACGCATTACAAAGTGTCTGAGAAAAATTCATCACGCACTCACACATACACACTCGCAGAGAAAGAGAGAGGGAGAGAGAGACTCACCATCGAATGACAACAATTGAAGGAAAAAAGAATTAAGTGAAGAGAAGAAAATTTCGAATTGTAAACTTTTTGTCATCAAACTGTGTGATGTTAAATGCTCAGTGTCACATCTATTTTTAATTAATATATCGTTTCTCGATGTGATGTCCAATGTCAAATAAATATTTACGGAAATCGAGGTTTGAAAATACCTTTAATTGCGCGATATAGTGTATAATATTGTAGTCAATCAATTTTTTCCCTTTACTGCTTGCAGTAATTTAATCTTCATTCGACTCGTACTCACCGTAGATTTGTGTTAGAATAATTAAATTCGCGGTCAATTTTGGTGTTTTCCATTGTTTGGATCAAAATCAGCTGAAAATCTATTGGATTAGAATGAGTGAAAATGAGGCGACCACGACGACCAAAGAACATAAAGTGATAATTATTGGAGCAGGCTGTGCTGGTCTATCGGCTGCAAATCATCTAATAAAAAATGGTTTAACCGATTTCCGAATACTAGAAGCGCGAGGTCGAACTGGAGGACGAATTGTTTCCATTGATCTTGGTGCGGAAAAAGTAAGTCATGACCACAATGCAATTTTAATCGATTTGTACACAATAAATTACATAATAAATTGGTTAACATTTGTCTACTTAGATTGAATTGGGTGCAAATTGGATTCATGGTGTACTCGGGAATCCGATATTCGAACTAGCGATGGCCAATGGATTAGTCAGCATATTAAATACTCCGAAACCACATAAACTAATTGCAACGACAGAGGATGGCAAACAGGTGCCATTTCCAATACTTCAAGAAATCTACGAAGCATATGTGTGCTTTCTGAAGCGATGCGAAGAATATTTTTTGTGTCAATATATACCGCCGCCCGATATCGATAGCGTGGGAGAGCACATTAACTATGAAATCGAATTGTATTTAGCAAATCAATCAGATGGCGAACAAAAACATTTGAAAAAAATGATATTCGAATGTTTGTTGAAGCGCGAGACGTGCATTTCCGGTTGTAATAGTATGAATGAAATAGATTTATTAGAATTAGGCAGTTATACAGAACTTCAAGGTGGTAATATTGTCTTGCCAAAGGGCTATTCAAGCATTCTCGGTCCGATGACACAATCCATTTTACCCGAACAAATAGTACTCTCTTGCCCAGTGAAAACCATTCATTGGAAGAGAAAATCAAATCGTGCCGAATGTACAATCGGCGGTTTGGAAACAGTTGACGAAGTAGATTCAGACGATTCAGATAAAACTGTAACCGATGTACCAATCAATCGTAGTCCATCGCATGACAATCATCGCCGTGATAAAGTGAAAATTGTCTGTGACAATGGCATTGAATACTATGCCGATCATGTAATTTGTACGGTGCCGCTTGGTGTACTGAAGGAAAATCATGAAACATTGTTCGAACCGAAATTACCACAATACAAATTAGACTCAATTGATCATTTACTTTTTGGCACCGTTGATAAGATTTTCCTCGAATATGATCGACCATTCTTAAACAAGGACATTAGTGAAGTGATGCTACTGTGGGATACAATTGATGATGCCAGTGTAAGCATTGAAAAACATTGGTTTCGAAAGATTTACTCCTTCAGCAAAGTGAGCGAAACATTGCTGCTGGGGTGGATATCGGGAAAAGAAGCTGAATATATGGAAACATTATCGCATACGGTAGTAGCTGATGTTTGTACCGATATTCTACGAAAATTCCTAAAGGATCCATTTATACCGAAACCAAAGAGTTGTGTTTGGTAAGATACATTTATTTCTTTGTGCGCCATCGAAATTCAAATGCAATTCTTATGTTCATTTCAATTTCTTTTATATAAATTTAGTACCAGTTGGCATCGTCAACAATACTGTCGAGGCTCATATACGGCGATTAGTGTTGGTGGTTCTCAAGAGGATATCGATAATGTTGCACAACCATTGTATTCATCACCGCACCATACGAAACCGGCTATAGTATTTGCTGGCGAGCACACACATTGTAATTTCTATTCAACCGTTCATGGAGCCTATTTGAGTGGTAGAACAGCGGCTCAATTTCTTGTAACGCCCGATTCACCGCAAGAGGTTATTATGGAATCGGACACAAGTGACTTAAGTTCATGGATTCAAGGCATTGCACTCGATTAATATAAAGAGTCGGTTACACAAAAACATATAATGTTCCGCTTGCAACAACTACAACGCTCTCAACATTGCCACTTCAATTTCTCAAATCTGCGCCTAGATTCTTTGTGACAAGCCAAAACAAACATTAATCTACACATTTTATTGTATTATTTTTGGTGCATCGCTTGGGCGTGTTTTTTTTAAAAATATGAATTTGTTTTTGAGACATGAATTGAGAATTGTTTGAATTTTAGTATGAAGAACATGAAAGTATGAAATGATTTGAGGGAGAAAGAGAAAAAGAAAATTGAATTGTGCTATTGCTCGATAAACCAACCATCATCATGCATTGAAGATTTTTATTTTTTTAGACAATAAACTTTAGTGAATGCAAAATTTATTTCAATAATTTCATCAATTTATTTTTGAACTGCAAAACATTTTTTTTATCTAGTCGCACAAAAAAATATTAATAATAATAGAAAATGTAAAATGAATTGTTTTAAACTTCAACTAAAAATGTGTAAAGTATTTTTAGAGATTGGAGCAAGTGAACGAGAGAGAGAGAGAGAGAGTGTGTGTGGAAAAAAACAACTCTAAAAGTATAAGAAAAGGAAAAATACAAATCGAACGATTGATTGTGTTTGATTAGAATGTCAAAAAAAAGTTTATTGAGTTTTTTTCTTTGCGATTTGTTTAATTTGAATTACAGCTTAAAGAAAGAGACCTTATGAACTAAAAGCAACTGCCATTTTGTATTTAATCTCTCATTTCGCCCTCTTCATCGTCATCGCTAATGCCCGAAATGTACAAGACATTGTTGCACCGAATCAACACCTCACCCAAATGACCTGTAAATGCAATAGAATAAATGGCAATTGATTAAAATCGATTTCAAACAGACACTTGACCATATTGATAAAGGCAATAAATTACCTGTCGATTGACCGTCGATGTATTCTTCTGTGTTTGCCAATTGCATGTTCATGTAACCATCGACTGAAACCAAGTATCCTCTGTATTCGTGACCCCACTTGAGTTTAACTTGAACGGCTTTACCGGTGAGACCATTTAAAAATGGTTTTGGATTGATTGGCATTGCCATCGACATGATTGTGGATCTATTTTACTCTTTCTATTCACACAAAAACTAAACGAATCAGCAAACCTTCTTGTTTGAGGTTATGTTTTCAATCTATGATAGAATGTAAATGTGAATCAAAATCATTAATATATTTTATTAAATTTTTATTTTTCGAAATGCTTCACTGTTAAAAGTATTACAAAGGATTTCCATCCAAAAGACAAAATATGTTTACCTTAAAAGTTCAAACGAATTGATGAAAAACAACAACGAAATGCAGATGTAATCGTTTACACACACCAAACGTTATACTGTTGAACTGTCAAAAGGGATGGAAAGAGAAGCGGCAAACAAACAACGTTGTGCGTGCATTCAATGCAAAGTGTCAAATGTTTTTCTTTCTCGCCGTTTGACGTCTGCCGCAAATAATGCTCTTTCTGTGTGGCGAAAGCTTGTTTCATTTCACAACGTTTTTATCCCTGTCGGTGCTACAATAGACTCACATTCTCATATAATATATAGGATTAACAAAGAAAAATATAGAAGAAAAAAAAATAGGGAAAAATCCTAGTGAATTTGTGATAAATATACTAGTAGGAATTCGTTATTACTGGTATAAATTTTAGGTGAACAAAAGAGAAAAAAAAACATTTGCTGCACCGGTAAGAATATTCTCAGAATAATATTATTTCTATACGAACGAAAAAAATCGTAAAAAAAAGGATCGAACATGGTGCAATCTAAGGGTGATACTAGATCTATATTTCCACATTGGCATGCAATCGTAAAAAAAGAGAAAATGTTTTTGGTAATGCATCTGTGCAAACTAGAATTCGAACGCGTTTTACATACGCACACACATTGAAGATGTATGCGAATTCACTCAGTGCTTTGTCTCGCTTTTGCTTCGCATGCCGCCGGTGGTGAAATGCTACCATGATTTAGATATATTCATATGCATATAGTATGTGTGTATATTCATCAATTCAATTGAAGTGGGCTAGAAAATGCCGAACGAGAATGCTAGACATAGCCAAAGGAAGTCACAAAACATGCACTATTGTTTGCTAAATTCAAAACTCTTTCTTTAGTTTATGTATGATCGTCGTCACTGTCTGTGTCAATGTTGTTACGGCATATTTTTTTAATTCTTTCGCTTCCTTCTTCTATCCAACCAATTTGAATGGCATTGTCGAAAAATTGTAAGAAAACTGGAATTTAACACTGAAATTCACATCGCACCATGAACACACTTATACACATATACGCGCGCGAACCGCAGATCAGACATCGCAGCTTGCAATACGCATGCATTTTCTCTCTTTCTCTCGTAAACACACACGATTTTAGCGATGAATAAATGGGTTTCGCGCTGTGCAGAAGACCGGTCAACAGCCGTTGTTCACACAAATACACTCACTCGCATATACAATCGCAGCGTAAATCAAATAGTTTTAACCATCCGAAAGCCGAGAGAACGACGACGGCAAAACTCCATCTCGAATGAGACGACGTCGCCAACCAGACGAAAAAAAAGTTCATTGCAGACAGTAAATTCAGTGTGGTGGTCTATACCTATATTTAACAAGAAAAAAAACAAAGTTCCTGTAATTTATAAACGAATTTAAACAATTTCATCATTTTCACTAGTTCGATCTTTGTGAATTAAATTGAATTTTAAAAAGATTTCCATTTTTTTTTCGTTGCAGTGAACAACAGTTTTCATTTCGTACAGTGACGCGATATTTGTGTATGAGTTTGGCTCTGTGTATTTAGCATTAACAAGCAATCAAGAAAATGCTCGCCCTCGAGAACGCCGATGAAATTTTACAAATTTTAGATCGTTTTACCAAACAAAAATCGAAAGATATTCCACCAGAGCTAGAAGAATACATTAATTATGTTGCTAAAACCGGAGACACGGTCTATCGCTGGCCCACCGTTCAGTATCTGTTTCGTGAAAAATTACGAAATGTTATCAAAGACTTTCACGACACCACCGCTAGTATTGAAGGTTAGTTTGCTCTCGCCCATTTTGTTTACTTCGTTTTTTTTTTAAATTAGAATTACACTTGAATTTGTGCAAATTTTAATAGTATCCATTTTTATTCAAAAAAATATGTCATTTCTTTATGATTTTTTTTTTTTGCGAATTTAATTTAAAATTAAAAAAATATTCTCTTTTTCCGTGCACCCATAATAGACCTTCCCCAATGTCCGAATGTCGACCAATTCAATTATGATTCCATGAAGACGTTGTTATTTGAACGCTTCGATTGTTTTCAAGCGGCACCATTCACCATTCAGCGTTTGTGTGAACTGCTCACCGATCCGAAAAAACACTATAGTCGTCTCGATAAATTCATGCGCGCTTTGGAAAAAAATATTTTAGGTAAGCGTGTTGTCTTTTCGCATTATCAACGATTTTATCGTTGTTGGTTTTTTTGAACATATCTGGTATTTTTTCAGTTGTGAGTACAGTTGAACCGGGCCGTAAATCGATTTCAAACAACGATCCAGCCGAAATTGATGCATTCAACAATGATGTTTTGAATGATATTAACATCGATGTTGAGATAACTAAGAACGATGAAAAACAATCAAATGGAAAAGATAACAAACATATTGAATTCAATTCAACTGAACACATGGACGAGAGTGTTGCATCGTCGTCGTCTTCGACATCATCATCATCATCGTCGTCGTCGTCGTCGTCATCATCACAAGCATCACCTGACACTGAAATGAAAAAGGACGAAAGCACAAAGGTTGAAGCAACCGTTTCTGAAAAATCGATTGAATCGGAAAAGGCGGCCGAAAGTTCCGCACAAATATCAAGCGAAGCAGCTGACACTCCAATGACAACGGAACCGACTGAAATAAAACCAGTTATTGATGCAAATGAAAAAGCGGCCACAGAAAAAGAAAATGACGTCATTCCAAAACCAGAAGACCAAGCGAAATCAAGTGTGACAGTTGAAAAAGTCGAACCAGTAGAAAGTAGTGTGCAAAAAGAAATTGACAATGAAACCGCACCAAAAGCTGAAAAAATCGACGAAGGCAAGCCAGCACCATTGGATGACGAGGTAAAGGTAGAAGAGAAAAAGAATGAAGAAGAAATCAAAGAAACGCCACCAATCGAGGTAAAGCCGGTTACTCCGAAACATGCACGCAGCTCCAGTGATGATGAGGATGATTTAGATGGCGATTTGAATACATCGGCGAAAAAGATTCGACTCGATTTTGACGACGAAGAGAAAAAAGAAGAAACAAAAGCGCCACAGCCGGAAAGTACATCCGAAGCGGAGCCAATTGTATCGGCAATAGATTTACAAAAGGAAACGGATATTTTGGAATCGATAAGCAGCGAAATTGATGCCCAGAAAGAGAATGAACTATTGGAAGATGTTGTTGATTCGGTATTGGTTGCCGCTGTAAAAGATCCCATCAATATTGACGTTCAGCCAATTGCCGAAAATATAATTGAACCGGACACATCGAAACCAATCGAAGAACCCGCCACCGCTGATTTATTGAAAACAGATGAACCCGTGGCCATTCCATCCGATTTAGATTTTACACCCGACGAGGCACTAAACGAATTAGTGTCATCGGACATTCTATCAGTGATTCCAGAGCAACAGCCAGTCGAAGAAGAGATCAAAATGAGCGAAGAGTCCAATAATATTGCCGAACCTGTGGTACAAGCCGCTGCTGATGAAATGAATGTCGAAAACACCGATGCTGGCGGCATTGAAGCCGAAAACGCAATGGAAGCAGCTCCAATTAAAGCGGACGAAGAAAAAATGGACGTTGACGAATCAAATTCAGTTGACGCAATGGACCTTTAAGGGCCAACATTCATCGATTCAATTTACGATCATAACAACATATTTACTCACATTTACTATACTACATTATATTCGAAACTCTTTCTTTTTTCATACAAACAGAAAAAAAATACAGAGAGTGACACAATGCCACATTATACGTAGAATTTAGTAATTTCGTATCATATGAATATCCACTTCAGCAAAAAAAAAAAACGAAACATTTTTTCATCAATAGTTTCCTTTTATTCGTTTTGTCTTCTTTTGTTACTCTATTTTAAGCGATGCATTTCTCTTTTTTTTTAATTTTATGTACTGATTGGCAAAAACAAAAAAAAATGTGTTGTAGAAGTCGATAAGCAAATGTCAAAAAAAAAAACAATACTAAACCTATCAAATAAGTAATAATAAACGTATCAATTTGCATTGTAGGCAAATCATAAACACACACACACACTCCTACAAATGATCACCACAAATTCTCGACAAAAACATGGTATAATTCGGATGACCAAAAATTGAACAATTCAGATCAACAACTCACATATACACATCGTTCGAAAAAATAAAAGAAAAAAAAACGCGAACATGAAATGCAAACAGCGGATGCATAACGAGAAATCATGAACATTCTTGCGAACGTAACTTAGAACACTAGGGCTTATTCAAGGGATATCCACATTTATAAATTATTATTATGGTCATTCAATAAAAAAAAATAAAACGAATCCAAACCGAATGGTGTTTTATTGAATAAATATTAAAATATTTGGTATTGAATCAATTTTCTAATTCGGATAATTCAAATAATGTTGCTTTGAGTACAGTGCACAATAAGAAAAATAAACATTTAATCATGTCTTTCTGGTAAGAAACTGCGCATCATATCTATAGGAATTGGAAAAATGATGGTCGAATTCTTTTCTGCCGCTATATTGTTAAGTGTTTGCAGATAGCGAAGTTGTAGAGCGGCTGAAGATTTGCATAAGATGTCAGATGCTTGTTTTAATGCCAACGATGATTTCATTTCTCCTTCGGCGGCAATAACTTTTGCTCGAGCGTCTCTAGAAGCTTCAGCTTCCGTAGCCATCGCACGTTGTAATTGTGTGGGCAAACTAACGTCCTTTCTAAAAGAAAGAAAAAACCGATGAAAAAGGAGGATAAAAATTGTAAATAACATAAGCTGGATCTTTTTCGTACATTTCTACTCTCTCCACTTTTACGCCCCACGGGTCAGTCATTTCGTCGAGACTTGCTTGCATTGTATGCGAAATAGTTTCACGCTCTGTCAATAATTCCGATAAATTCCGTGTTCCCAAAACATTTCGTAGTGTCGTGGCGGCCAGCAGTCTTGTCGAATGACTATAATTTGCAACCTGCAAAAAAAGTGCTTTCGCAATTTCACAGAAAATAAAAAAATGATGTCATTGTTACCTGTATAACCGCCTTTAGTGGATCTGAAATGCGATAATAAACAACCGCATCAACACTGACCGTGACACTGTCCTTTGTTAAAACCTCTTGTGGTGGGACATCAAACGATACAGTCCTTAAATCGACTTTACAACAATTATCAATGCATGGCAGTACAAAAAACACACCCGGACCTCGTGCACCTCCCGATCTAAAATTTGTTTTTTTTTGCTTTCATATTCGTCTATACCCTATTATAAATGCGTTGCCTACCTCAAACGACCCATTCGAAAAATGACTGCACGTTCATACTCTGAAACGACTTTAAAGCATATAAACAACGAAACCGGCAACGTAATTATCATTAATAATGAGCTGAAAATGAGTGCGATGATCTCAATGCAAGTGGAAATATTCTTTCGAGCTGAAAATTTGGAGAAGAAAAAAACGAATTGAGTATTTATTTTGGCTATGCACTAGCAAATGAAAATAAATTACTTTGTCTACGGACAATAACCTTTGACTCATGCGAACATGTTTGAAAATTCCAAATTTTATTCATCGAATATTGAGTATCGTTTGTTTATATTAATTGTGTAACACAATACACGAATAAAGAATGTAAAATGAAGAATGTGGGTTACCATAACACACTGTCAATCACGTAAATTTTGACTGCTTTTGAAATTTATACGCAAATAGTGAAAACCAGACTCTATATTATATACTATATCCTACGAAGTTTATTTCTCTTTTTTTACTCTCAATGAATGTTTATTTCCTTTTCGTTTTGCGCAAGCGATACTTTTGAATAAACATATTCGGAAAAAAAAATTCCTTATTCAACAAGATATATATATGTGCTTGAAGCCTCGTTATTTGCTCCCAAAACGAAAATTGATATTTTGAATTCCGTGCAGTTGTTGCTTTAGATTTGAATTATCCGCCCATTTTGAATTCAAGTAGCTATCATCATGGTCCTCTTCCAACCTCTTCAATTCTTCTTGGCGCCGATACTGTTGGAGCATGATTTGTTTGCGGACCTCTTCGTTGAATACTGGCTCTCGCCCTGGCGCTCCTTCACCATGCTTCACAATTTTCACAATAACTTTGCATTTTTCGTTTTTTCCCAAATAATCGCTTAACAATTTTTCGTCCAACATTTGACGACCAGCAAACCAAAGTTGCATCTTGCTCGGTTCAATAACGTCCAGTGCGGCTTGTGTACCGCTCAGATCTTCTGTATTATTGAATTCCATGTAAATGGGATCATGTGGAGGTAAACCCATTGGATATACGATTGTTACGGCTCCTTTCAAAATATCAATGGCATTTTGTACATGTTTTAACGTTAGCGATTTATTATCGTCGATCATTTTCTTTGACACCATTTCTTTTGCGTCGTTAATGGATTTCAATAAGAGCTCCTGCATTTTCACGTTCGGTTGTCTACCATTTCTGCGACCGACTGGATCTCGATTGTATACCCATCCATCGGACGGCACCACCTTTTCCGCATACTGGTCAACTAGTTTCAGTTCCCGCACTTGTTCTTCAGTCAAACCAATTATTTCGGGCGGAAACATGGGACCATGATCTTTTAATCCCTCCATTTCACTACAAATTCGACTTATTTTCAAACGACCGTTGTACATCAACACTATCTCTTTGTTCAACTTCGATATCGGCATCGTAACTGATGTCTCGAACAAAAATTGCGATTCATTGCCACGTTTTAAATGTAAAAAGACCATTTTTATAAGTGCTTAAGAAAAATTATCTTTGAATTGATGGTTTTTAAGCTTGTACCGATGGAAATTTTTCTGAAACGCCAACCAGTTTATTTGGTTTCCATAACAACACATACATATTAGATATTAAGCAACGAAGCAGTTTATAGAGACCATTTTTTTCTAAATATATAAATTAATATGTACGATCTAAACGGAACACTTGTTTTAAAAACCTAATTGATAACATCGATGAAACTAAACAAAAAATGTCGCTAGAGAATTTATTCGGAAATTTCTACAACTATTTCTTGTACTTTTAAACTATATATTAAAAAAAGTTACCTGCAACTGAATTGCATGAACACTGAAGAGAGAACATAGCAATAAAAAACACATCAAGCAAAACACTCAATTAAAATTAAAATCTATATATTCTTGATTTCGCTTTCAACCTGGCCGCTTCTTGCCCAATTTCCACAAATAAACACATACACGTATGCACGCTATCTCTAAATCGCCTAATTTTGAAAACATGTCAAAATCCATCGCCTCACCCAACGCAGATACTAAATTAACAATGTGGAAAACATGACATGGTCGTGCTTTTGTGCATATTACTTTATAAAAAATCGAAGCATCAACATTCATGTCGCAGAGCTATTCACCTTGTTCGTTTTTATTAGGTGACGACTGATAGAATTATTGTATCGACAAATTTCAAATGTTCGTCTAAGTTAAAATGTTGATTTGGATTTTATTTTCACTTTTATTTATATACTTACTTCGGTGATATCCATCTCCATTTGACATAGGTCGAATATCAACGGTGGGACTGTAAGCAGTTGCCCGGTATTCATTTCTATCATTTCTGATGTGAACTGCTGCATCTCGATTTCTCGACATCTTTTTTATTTTGATCACTTGTCTCACTTACTATTCAAAAAAATCCCAAAAAATGTTGCTATGCTTATAAAAATTACGTCCAACCGGAACGAATGGTCTCATCGAAGTGAAGATCGAAACGGCACACGAGAGCGCATCGAATCATTGGCTGTTCCGTCATGAATTTTTGTTTATCGTATGGCGGAAAATTGCGTAAACAAATGCTATTTCCAGCTGTGCATAGATCAAATCAACTGAATCAATTGAACTTGCCTATTTGCTGTAAGTCTGACTGACCGCAAAGCATTATAACAAAACAGTTCACCCGTGTGATGACTATACGCATCTGCGGAGATAAATTTAGATTTTTTTTACGAAGAAATTCATCCAAAATAAAAGAGTAAGTTATCATCGCGAACGAATTTTGTAAGCATTGAACGTTTTTCGACACATTAAATATTAAAAAAATAACAACATTTTTTTATGATTTGTTTACATAAACGCTGTCGATTTGGGCTTGATTTATTTCAAATAATTCTACAAACATTGTTTTGATCGTGTTTTACATCTTTCTTTCTCACTATTTTTTGAGTGCAACAACAACAAATTTGCGTGAATGTAAGAAACTTACTTTCCCTACTGCTTAACGTAATAATAATTATTATACAAATAATAATGAAAAAAATTGGCATTGCCGCTATTCTTTTGATGATTGAAGTCGTTTGTTTTTTTTCATCGCATCCAGCACACTTGCGAAATTTGCTGTTTTCTTTTTGGTCGATGATTTTGGCGTTGACATCGGTCTTTGTACTCGCATCGTTGGCGAAGCCACCTCATCCATAAAATCGAATTCCAGGTTTTTACTAGCTCTGAAATAAAGAAGTGAATGTGACAGTCATTATTGATCCAACAATTATTTTCTTTTAACAAACTCCAAAATGCTTACAATTCAGTGTTGGCGTTCTTTTTTACTTCTGCGTTAGCAACTGGTGTTGGTGTTGGCGCGCGATAGCCCGAACTCTTCCATGCAAGCTCAATTAATTCGCCGGAATTGAGTTTTTGATACATTAAGTCGAGTTCGTCTGGTGTCGGTTCGAGCGCTTCATTGTCTGGCAACGTTGGAAAACTCCAATTTTCGGTTCCACTCATTGTATCTTTGAAATGTTTCTTTACCGGAGACTTTTCGTATGGATGATATGAATGTTCGTAAATAATTAGACTTGTAAACAGACATGACGTTGGTTCATCGATATACGTCAAACAAAGTTTGAATTTCGAATTATAGGTGGCGCTTCACAATGCCGATGTAAATAGTATATTTATCACAGAGAATTTTGTTAAATTCAAACATTTGAAGAGAAATCATATTTTGACCTCGTACGGATAATGTTGGTGCTTTAATTTACGATAAGAAATAACAATATTCAGCGATAACTGTGTGTTACCCATGAGCACTTACCAAACAAAACGAAAAAAATCGAGCATATTGAAAGCATAAACAAAGCTGTCAAATCAAACGCACCGTCAAAACATATTTTTTTGGTAAACTACAAATTTAACGCTGAAATCAACGAATTTTACAAAAGAAAATTTGAATTTTTCAATTTTATTGCGCAAAAATGAGTGCTAGTGGTGATGTTTGTCAATTATGTTGCGAAGAGAGTCAACTTATAAAATGTACCGTGGAAAAAACCGAATTTATGGAATTATTTTGTCATTTTGTGTTCAATGTAAGTCTGTGTTTGGTCATTTCGTTCATAAAATGGTTTGTAAAACCGAACGAGAATTTAAATTGTTTTATTTTTTTTTTACAGGATACCTCTCATCAAATAGACGACATATGCGCCAATTGCTTCCAAAAATTGGATGAATTCGGTCAATTTTGTCACAACATTCGAAACATTCATCAAAGTCTTATTGAAGTATCGTTCGGACCAAGCAACCTAAAATATGAAGAACATACCGAAGAACTGGACGATGAAATTGAAGAACATATCACCACCGAAGATAGCGCTGACGACAAAAGCGTCTCCATACTAAAAATTGAATCGGATTTAGGCGGTGATTTCGATACGTTGCCCAGGCGGTGTAAGTTTTTATTGGTCACAAAAGTTTTAAATGAAAACTGACTGGAAGATTAATATTTTTTGTTTTGCTTTTCTCTAAAATAGTGTCGATGACTCCAGAAATTGTCCGAAAATTACAAACTCAATTACAATTCACGGCCAAAGCCATTGAACGTAAAGATATGAATTTTGATCGAATTTCACGTTTTGTGCCGATGACGTGTGTGGCATGCAAAGAATCATTTGAGTCATTCGAGGATTGCAATGAGCATTACATTGTCGCTCACGGTCGATCAGCCTACTGGCAGTGTTGTAATCTGATTTTAGAAACGCCATATGAACTACTCGATCATATTCGATACCATGAAAGTATCGATGTTTTCAAGTGTGCGGCATGCTTGAAATGCTTTCTAAGTTCAAACAAACTTAAATACCACATTCATCGTTCACATTTGCCAGTGGACAGTAGTTGCATTATATGCGACAAAGGATTTAGAAATCTGCGACTTTTATTCAACCACCACAAGAGTCACATTCTTATTTCGTGCCCAAATTGTGACAAACAAGTATCGGCTTCGAATTATGATCATCACATTCGTACGTCACACGCAGTTCAGATAAGTAAAAAACGAAAACATAAAACCGAAAATGTGGCCACCCATAAAATGCAACGGAAAGCAGAACGGGGAGAATCGAGTGGAACAAACGAACGTGTAAATTTGAAAGCAAAACATACAAATGTTGCGTCCCGAGTAAGTGATGATTATATCTATTATAAAAAATATGAAGTTTTATGATTGATTTCTGTTTTGTGCTTTCAGAGTTTCACTATGAACTTTGAACCGAATGACGATGGTCTGTATGAGTGTGATGTATGTGCAATGCAGTTCAAGCAAATTTCGCTGCTTTTCAGTCATCGCAATAAGGTTCATGTTTGATAACATACATGGGCACGGGAGGCAAGTTGAAGAGTGGGTCTTTCAAAAAAAAAAAAAAAAAAACTGGAAAAACAAATGAATTTTTTATCCTCTTAAGGGATAGCTCGGAAAATTTAAGATAAAGTGTTACACATGCCCGTGTTCATATATTTTTGATCATTTGTTTTAGATTGAATCATTGAGGACCACTCAAAATTATTTTAAGCATTAATTAAGCATCATGTAAAAACAGCTTTTAGGAGAAACTCGAAATAATTTTCCAATAAAATATTGAAATGAAAAAGTATTGGTTTAAATAATTTTGATTTCAGATGGTGTGTGTGTGTTGTAACTTTTTTTACTTTTCTTTCCATAACATGAGCACAGAATCGATTTTTGAACCACTCCACACACGGACACGATCAATTTTAACCCGTAGTGAAGATAAAAATAAACAAAAATGTGTCTGATGAAACGGCTGTTGAAAATATATGAGAAACAACACATCCATTTTTACTTTAATTAAATTGAATGTCTACGTTTTATTTATACATTAACAACGATTTATTTTCGACAGCGAAGATAACGATAATAAAAACGATTTTACTTTTCCGAACACTAGTCTGTAAGGTAAAGTATTGGAGTCGGTCGAAAAATTAACACCGATAAAAAACAGGTTTTCTGGGTATTTTAGGAGTCAGGGAACACGAATCAGTTGTTTTTTCGATGTTCCAATGTATGTGCGGCACCATTTCTGCGCCTTTTAATGAAATGACGAGAAAAAGAATAAACAACACATCGTATGAATCGTATATAAACAGCGTGTACGAAAAACAGCATGCCTGTATGATATCTTATTGAGCTGAAACTTCGCACAGGCTATAGTTTTCACAATGAAATAAATGTTGTATGGAAGGTATCCCAAAATTGTATTGAAATTTCCAAAGCACGACGACAATGAAAGCTGGGCAACGCAGCAACTTCATTATGGTTGTCACTGTTTATGTTGGGTGACACAAATTTGTACCATTTTTGATTTAAGCGAAATTAATTCGATATACGGCGCTGATGTAAATGTCACTCTGTCATTTCACAATAATACTTTTTTGGCTTGACAATAATAAGCTCTTCATTTAAAATGCATACACATTCATAATTATTGAACCGTTAAAAAAAACATGTCATAAAATATTTTTCTAACATTTTTCATTAAAATTTTTATAAAAATTTTTTTTTATAGAAAAATTAATTTGTTTATAAATTACAATAATTTCAAAAAAAATGTTTCATCTATTAAATAAGAATCCAATGTACATAAATAGTAATGACAATGCGACACCTACCGTAAAAATGCAAAATGAAACTTAGTTGGTCTCCATTGTAGCACTTTGGTCCGCCATGACAGCATCTTCGTTTTACTTGATCAATCACAGAGAAGCAAAACGAAGATGCTGTTATGGCAGACCAAAATTTTACAATTCCAAATAAGTTTCCTTTTCCATTTTTACGGTAGGTGTCGCATTGGTATTACTTTTTACATTAGATTCTTGTTCAATCTATGGAAAAAAATTGAAATTATTGTTATTTTTAAATAAATAAAGGAGCGAGTACGGCGTTTCCCCCTTTGCTAAGCGAAATAAATCCGATATACGGCGCTGATTTAAATGTCACTCTATCTCATTCCACAATGATACATTTTTTGGCTTGACAATATATAAGCTCTTCATTCAACATGCATAATTTTTGAACGGTCGAGTAAAAAAAAGAAACATATCAT